GTAGAAGTACATTCAGTGATGTTCACACAAGGACAAAATCACCTAATGATGCATTTCGCAGAACATATCCCCAGCCGTACTATGTTGGCTGCCCCATCAGAACCATAGAAGTGTTGGAGAGAGAAGTAATTTCCTTAAAGAATTGGTTATGTAGAGAAAAATAATAAACAAAAAAAAAATAACACTACAAAGAAAATGTTTACATTATTTTGCAGATTACCAAAACTGTTTCAGTTATTCTCTACTGATTTTTGAAGAAAATAAGTATTAAAAGAAATTATTCGTAAGCAAGAAGTATTACTGTTTCAGGCATTTTTTCCCTTTTTCATCTATATAATCTTTGTTAATTTTAGCGTTGTTATGTGAAAATTCTTATACAACTTTCAAAAGTTCTTTGGTTATATGTCATTTATTGACTTCTCTTGCACTGCCTGCTAGCTGATATGATTTGGCCGGGTCCCCACCCAAGTCTCATTTTGAGTTGTAGCTTCCGTAAACCCCATGTGTCATGGCAGGGTAATTGAATCATGGGGTCAGGTTTTTCCTGTGCTGTTCTCATGATAGTGAATAAGTCTCATGAGATCTGATGGATTTATAAAGGGCAGTTCCCCTGCACGTGCTCTCTTGCCTGCCAACATGTAAGACATGCCTTTGTTCCTCCTTCGCCTTCTGCTGTGATTGAGGCCTCCTCAGCCATGTAGAACTGTGAGTCCCATTAAACCCCTCTTTTTCTTCATAAATGACCCAGTCTCGGGTATTTCTTCATAGCAATATGAAAATGGACGAATACACTAGCTTTTCGACTACTGCCCATGTAAAAAATAATGTGTTAAGCAGAAGCAAATCTTATCTAAGATGTTCCATATAAGTCAAAAGAAATACGTTATGTTGATGACTTACTAAATAGTAAGATTTCTTAGAAGGAAAACTTTTTGCATTATTTGTATTTACTTTACAGAGAAGTTAATTATATTTTCCATACCAGAAGAAAAATGGGGAAATAGCAACATGTTAGTTCTACTAAAAGAGTAGTCAATCTACAACAGTATGTTATTTTATTTAAATATTTAATCAAAAAAATTTTCTAACAATTACTGCATAATTATTCTGTAACGCTCTGCTTGCTTCTAGGGATAAAAGAGAATATAAGATAGATAAATTCTCGTTCTCAAAGATGTTACAGAGCTAAGAGATATTATATTAAACAAGTAGTTACACTTTTATATAATGGTAGTTAGGAGGGAATTACAGGGTGCAATGAGAGGGGATAACAGGGACTTGACCTGTCTTGGAGGTCAGTGAAAATGTGCTGGGTGAGCTAACTTGCTGTACTCTGAAAGAATGACAGGAATAACTTAGATGAAGGAGCAGAAGAGCCTCTTAGGGATGGCAAACAGAATGTTTAAGGCACCTGGATATTAACAGATTTCAATATATTTATTATCTGTTTTTACAGTTCTTTTGATTTGTATCATGACTTTAAGTTTTTTATTTGCTTGACATATGAAAAAATGAGGAGACTGTCTTTTATATATGTATAACATTTACAAATAAAATGTTATATGGAAAAATTGTAAGTTACTATATTCTCTGGCAGTATTGTCTGGTATATATGTCCACCTTAGTAAAAGCCTTTATCTACTTTGTAATTATACTTATGTATTGATCTGCCTTCTATCAGCTGGGAGACTTGAAAAATTAGAGTTTTGCTAGTGTTGTCTGCAGGGAAGGAAAGTGGATTCTGCTTTTATTTATACCTGAGTGTTATTTCCAATGTTACAGAAATAAAAAGTCATGTGGTGAATTGTCTTAAATCAGCTAATTATAATTCTGTCTACCTTTACCTGGGTTGACCTTCTAAGCTGTATTTTCTAAAGAAACAGAGATTTTGCTTTGTGCACATGGACCTCAAATTCATTCTTTGCAGATAAGAAAACCGAAGCCTGAGAAGTTGGGGGACTTTTGCAAATTGAGTTAATTAAGTTGTTACTGGTTTTTTCCCTCTTGCCTTGTTTTAGATTGGTTAAATACTGGTTCCTAAGTTGAGTTTCACAGGTGGAACAAAGTCAAACACTCTGAAACTAAGTGGACTTTCAGGCAGAAAACATAAACTTTATAAGTTTTACATAAAAGAAAAGCACATTTTAATGCTGCCTTCACAACCTCCTTTTACCCAACAGGAAGGAAATGTTCATAGATTTCAGCATTCCAGGCAGAGGTGAGTTATAGGACAGCAGGTATTTGCCTGACGGCCACTCGGTCCACAAGAATCACTGGAGGAACTAGTTCAGCTAGTAGTATTTGGTGTGTGCACTGGCAAAGACTAAAAGGTGTATTGGCAAGTTGTCTAAGAGAGAAGACCAAATGTTCTTGTCTTCATGGAGCTAAGTGGGTATAATCAGTCTCTTATTTTGAGTGGCTAGATCATCTTGGACTAGACTACACATGTAATGTTTAGATCACTGATTTTTCTGATTATGTTGCTAAATTGTACTGTATTTCAAACACAGCATTTATGCCTAGCCTAACTTCAGTCTTTACTCTATAATCAAGTTTTACTTGATTGCATTTATAATTTAAGTCTAGGCTTTCAACTAATTTAGGAAATGGCTTGGAAATACAGGAAGAAAGTCTAATTATAAAGGTACATTTGTTTTTTGTGGGGTCTGGGCCCCACAAAAGGTGTTTGTCTTGTAGGGTTCAATGAGTATTGCTCATCTCCACAGCACATGGCACTCTTACTACTTCCTGACTCGTTACATTGACGAACACTTATTCAGCACCTTAACCAATTTTGTATCTACTGTCTTTACTAATCATTTGTGACATGTGAACTTGGTCATTTTAAAGAAAAATCTAGGCCATCTAGCCTTCTATCTCTTTGTCTTCTCTCTCTGAGGAAGAGATGATTTTATATATATATATATATTTGAGGCAGTTGGTGGTCTTAATTCTTTTCTCTTACTAAACTTCATGAGATGGTTTTGTTCTTCCCTATTACACTAGAATATTTTGTTTATAGGATTTGTTGTAGCTAAAGTCAATATTAAAAAATTCTTAGTGCATTTGTTTATATTGGCCATCGTTAGAAACTTAGTATTGCATTTGGTCTTAGTTGTGACGAGCATCTTTTCCCCTATAATTTTGGTCTTCATTGCTCCCTTTATTGATTTTGGAGTAAAGTGGTTGGTATTGTAGTTGTTTTATGGGCAAAGAGATAGATTACTAATTGGTATATTTGTGTTGGCAGGGATGGAAAGTGATCGGGGAAAAGAAATACCCTGTTCCCACCCACATTACTATATATATCAGAATCTAGAGGACTGTACATGTGTCGTTTTGGAAAATGGTATTTATTGTTTTTCTATTCTGAAGGAAGGAAAGCTTGATAGTTCTCTTGGTCAGTGTGGATATACAAAAATTAGAGCAAAAAGCAGTTGACTACAACCTACTATTAGGAAGATCTTTATTCTTTAAAAGTTATTCTTTAAAGGATGTATATAGTCATTATGAATGGTGTAAGTACGTTTGAATTTTTTTATTTTGAATGGCTTAATCTTGTACTAAGTCAGATCATTTAAAAACTATATATCTGAACTTTTTTTTTTAACTTCCTTCCCACTAATATTTTTGGTTTATAGAACTACAATATTATACTGGCAGCTTTTACTGTGGAATGAAGAAAAAAGAAAAAAAATTACATGAAATGCTCCTGTAATTATAAAATTGACAAAATTTTGCTCACTGCTTCTTACAAAGAAAACTTATGAGAAACTATCCCAGGATTAAGGCGCTGGAAGAATTTCTTCCAAGTTTGCTATATAAGAAGCAATGAACAGAATTATAGAATTCAAAATATTTAAGCAAATCATATATTTTTAGTAATTTATTGGTTGAAGCTTATTAGCTATAGTTTTCTTAAGCTACGGTACCTTGAAAAGGTTTCCCTTTTAATTTTGGAATTGAGGTTAATAAACAATTTGCTCCTTGTTTTGTAGGGAATGATTTTCGATGAATTCACTTTTGTTTCCTTTTTTAGTTTTTCCCCCTATGAATAGGACTATCAATATGTTAAAGAGAACCAATACTAGCTTTTCTCCTGTGGAGCACAGTGATAAGCACATTTTTTCAACGACGTGTTTAGGATAGAAAGGGGTGGGGAGAAGGGAAGAGACAGGAATGTGAATGTATTATGTACTAAGAGAAGTGATAGGGATCACCCCCTCCTTTAGCCCTTTGCTGTTTTTTCCTCTTTGTTTTCTGCATCCTCAAGGTGTGCATGCAACATCAGTCTCTCTTCATAAATGCTGTCATAGTTTTGTAGACATTTCACATTAGCTTCTTTTGCAAGAACCAGGTCTGCTTCATCTATCTTTCCATTTCATTAAAAACATAAATCGCCACAGGAATCTGTTGCCCCAATAATCTTTTCTGGTTCTAGTCTTATCTCAAAGCCCCGAGCGATAACATTGCTCTGTTCTCTTTTTTGGACTTGGTACTGTCAGCACAGTTTGAGAAACTGGATTTCCTTGCTACTTTGTGACTTCTCCCCAGGTTTGTTATTTTAACCCTCCTTCATCATCTTAAACTTTTTTGTAAACTAAGAAATGAGCTAAAGGCAATCCAAGTTTTTCTCAGATTCCCAAGTATTGTGCTCCTCAGAAAAGCCTTTCCACATCAGTAGATACTCCATTTGCCCCTTAACTACATGCGTGTCTAGTACCTTCTACACAATGTACTCTTCATTCTCTGACGAACTGTCAGCTGTGTGCTTGGTTTTCTTTCCCATGTTGCATTGTTCCACCTGAAGGACTAAGGCCACTGCATCCCAGATTCCCCCAGTTTGTTCTTTCCCTCTGGGCTATCAGTAGTGGCCTCCCCTCCTGGGTCTAGGGCTTGACAGACTGACCTTCATTTTCTTTTTGATTAAGATATATTTCAGTCAAGATTCAGTTAGGTAAATGTAAACCATGCTAGATAATTCAGTAGAAGGAACTTACTCATAGAATCACTTTTAAAGGTGTTAGATGATCTGAGAGAATAGACAGGAGATGGTGAACCTGGACAATGGCAATTGTGGCAAGTTGCTGTTAGCTCTAGAAATGGAGGGACAAAGGAAAAAGAAAGTATTACTAGAGCCCACAGACAGGAGATAGCTGATGAGATGAAGCAGCACTGATTTGTGTGAGAGGGTACCTCTGAAGAGATATAACTACTGCTATAGAGGATCCTAAAGCTGAGGGGTTAGGGGAGAAAGACCCTCGTTTCTCCTTCCTCCTGACTTCTGATTTCTACCGCTGACTCCCTTTAGCCAAACCTAACCAGAACCCAAAGACCTTTGTTTTGAAAGAGATTTCCACTGATTATTGAATTTTACATTGGCAGTTTTTTTTTCTTCCCATACTTTAAGTCCATCCAGTGTCTTCTGGCCACATTTTCTTGTGATAAAAAATCTGCTTTTTATCTGGTTCCCTGAATATAACGTACACTTTTAGGGGCTTGCTTTTAAGATTTCATCTTTATCACTTTTCATTTTTAATTTTTGAGTAGGTAATACATGTTCATGGTTCAAAATGCAAAAAGTATAGAGTGTACAATGAGATACCCTTGCCATTTACATCTACCTGTCCCCTAGTTTCCTAGTTTCCGTTTCTGTAGCCATCCAGTGTACTTATTTTCATGAATTTTCCTTTCAGATGTATAATGCATATATAAGAAAAAAAACCCCATATTCTCAATTTAGACAAATGCTAATATACTACACACACAGTTTTGTATCTCCGTTTTTCACTTAGATATCTTTCCCCATCAGCATATAAGAACACTGGTCATCACATTGGCTGTAGAGTATTTCACTCTTATGTGTATATCAAAATGTAATTAACCAGCCCCTTACTAATAGATACTTAGTTTTTGTTTCAATCTTTTGCTGTTACCAACAACTGTTTAATGAATTACCATATATGAGCGGAATATGTACAAGAGTATTTGTATATCCTAGATGTATCCGAGGAGTAGAGTTAATTGCTTGATGAAAGAGTATAATTTATCAGTTATCATACATTTATACAAAGAATATAATTTGTCACTTTGGTAGATACTGCCAAATTTCCTCTGTAAAGGTTGAACCGGTTTACATTTTTGCCAGCAATGTAAGAGAGTAACAATTTTCTCACACCTTTGTTAACAGTGTTTTTTTTTGTTTTTGTTTTTTGTTTTTTAATAATGGGAGACTTTAACACCCCACTGTCAATATTAGACAGATCAATGAGACAGAAGGTTAACAAGGATATCCAGGACTTGAACTCAGCTCTGCACCAAGCAGACCTAACAGACATCTACAGAACTCTCCACCCCAAACTGACAAAATATACATTCTTCCAGCATCACATCACACTTATTCCAAAATTGACCACATAGTTGGAAGTAAAGCACTCCTCAGCAAATGTAAAAGAACAGAAATCACTATACTGTCTCTCAGACAACAGTGAAATCAAATTAGAACTCAGGATTAAGAAACTCACTCAAACCGCTCAACTACATGGAAACTGAACAACCTGCTCCTGAATGACTACTGGGTACATAACGAAATGAAGGCAGAAATAAAGATGTTCTTTGAAACCAATGAGAACAAAGACACAACATACCAGAATCTCTGGGACACATTTAAAGCAATGTGTAGAGGGAAATTTATAGCACTAAATGCCCACAAGAGAAAGCAGGAAAGATCTAAAATTGACACCCCAACATCACAATTAAAAGAACTAGAGAAGCAAGAGCAAACACATTCAAAAGCTAGCAGAAGGCAAGAAATAACTAAGATCAGAGCAGAACTGGAGGAGATAGAGACATAAAAAATCCCTCAAAAAATCAATGAATCCAGGAGTTGGTTTTTTGAAAAGATTAAAATGACAGACCGCTAGCAAGACTAATAAGAAAAGAGAGAAGAATAAAATAAACGCAATAAAAAATGATAAAGGGGATATCACCACCGATCCCACAGAAATACAAACTACCATCGGAGAATACTATAACCACCTCTATGCAAATAAACTAGAAAATCTAGAAGAAATGGATAAATTCCTGGACACATACACCCTCCCAAGGCTAAGACAGGAAGAAGCTGAATCCCTGAATACACCAAAAACAGGCTCTGAAATTGAGGCAATAATTAATAGCCTACCAACCAAAAAGAGTTCAGGACCAGACGGATTCACAGCCGAATTCTACCAGAGGTACAAAGAGGAGCTGGTACCATTCCTTCTGAAACTATTCCAATCACCAGAAAAAGAGGGAATCCTGCCTAACTCTTTTTATGAGGCCAGCATCATCCTGATACCAAAGCCTGGCAGAGACAGAGAATTTTACACCAATATCCCTGATGAACACTGATGCAAAAATCCTCAATAAAATACCAGCAAACCGAATCCAGCAGCACATCAAAAAGCTTATCCACCACAATCAAGTTGGCTTTATCCCTGGGATGCGAGGCTTGTTCACCATAAGCAAATCAATAAACTTAATCCATCATATAAACAGAACCAAAGACAAAAACCACATGATTATCTCAATAGATGCAGAAAAGGCCTTTTACAAAATTCAACAGCCTTTCATGCTAAAAACTCTCAATAAACTAGGTATTGATGAAACCTGTCTCAAAATAATAAGAGCTATTTATCACAAACCCACAGCCATTATCATACTGAATGGGCAAAGACTGGAAGCATTCCCTTTGAAAACTGGCACAAGACAGGGATACCTTCTCTCACCACTCCTATTCATCATAGTGTTGGAAGATCTGGCCAGGGCAATAAGGCAAGAGAAAGAAAGAAAGCGTATTCAATTAGGAAAAGAAGTCAAATTGTCCCTGTTTGCAGATGACATGATTGTATATTTAGAAAACCCCATCGTCTCAGCCCCAAATCTCCTTAAGCTGATAAGCAACTTCATCAAAGTATCAGGATACAAAATCAATGTACAAAAATCACAAGCATTCCTATACACCAGTAACAGACAAACAGAGAGCCAAATCATGAGTGAACTCCCATTCACAATTGCTTCAAAGAGAATAAAATACCTAGGAATCCAACTTACAAGGGATGTGAAGGACCTCTTCAAGAAAAACTACAAACCACTGCTCAACGAAATAAAAGAGGACACAAACAAATGGAAAACATTCCATGCTCATGGATAGGAAGAATCAATATTGTGAAAATGGCCATACTGCCCAAGGTAATTTATAGATTCAATGCCATCCCCATCAAGCTACCAATGACTTTCTTCACAGAATTGGAAAAAACTACTTTAAAGTTCATATGGAACCACAAAAGAGCCTGCATTGCCAAGACAATCCTAAGCCAAAAGAACAAAGCTGGAGGCATCACGCTACCTGACTTCAAACTATACTACAAGGCTACAGTAACCAAAACATCATGGTACTGGTACCAAAACAGAGATACAGAGTAGTGGAACAGAACAGAGCCCTCAGAAATAACACCACACATCTACAACCATCTGATTTTGACAAACCTGACAAAAATAGGAAATGGGGAAAGGTTTCCCTATTTAATAAATGGTGCTAGGAAAACTGGCTAGTCATATGTAGAAAGCTGAAACTGGATCCCTTCCTTACACCTTATACAAAAATTAATTCAAGATGGATTAAAGACTTAAATGTTAGACCTAAAACCATAAAAACCCTAGTAGAAAACCTAGGCAATACCATTCAGGTCATACGCATGGGCAAGGACTTCATGACTAAAACACCAAAAGCAATGGCAACAGAAGCCAAAATTGACAAATGGGATCTAATTAAATTAAAGAGCTTCTGCACGGCAAAAGAAACTACCATCAGAGTGAACAGGCAACCTGCAGAATGGGAGAAAATTTTTACAATCTACCCATCTGACAAAGGGCTAATATCCAGAATCAACAAAGAACTTAAACAAATTTACAAGAAAAAATCAACCCCATCAGAAAGTGAGTAAGGATATGAACAGTGTGGTGATTCCTCAAGGATCTAGAACTAGAAATACCATTTGACCCAGCCATCCCATTACTGGCTATATACCCAAAGGATTATAAATCATGCTGCTATAAAGACACACACACACGTATGTTTATTGCGGCACTATTCACAATAGCAAAGACTTGGAACCAAACCAAATGTCCATCAATGATAGACTGGATTAAGAAAATGTGGCACATATACACCATGGAAAACTATGCAGCCATAAAAAAGGATGAGTTCATGTCCTTTCTAGGGACACAGATGAAGCTGGAAACCATCATTCTGAACAAACTGTCGCAAGGAGAGAAAACCAAACACCGCATGTTCTCACTCATAGGTGGGAATTGAATAATGAGAACACTTGGACACAGGGTGGGGAATATCACACACTGGTTCCTGGGGTGGGGTGGGGAGAGTGGGGATGGATAGCATTAGGAGATATACCTAGTGTAAATGACGAGTTAATGGGTGCAGCACACAAACATGGCACATGTATACATATGTAACAAACCTGCATGTTGTGCACATGCACCCTAGAACTTGAAGTATAATAATAAAAAAAACTTTATTATGACAATTTTCAAATATACTTGAAAGTAAAAGTAGTAGAAGCAACTATCACCCAGCTTCAACAGTTACCGGTATATTGTCAATCTTGTTTCAGGTATATTTTCCCACTCCTTACCCACTGCTAGTTATCTTTTTTTATGTAAAGCTTTATTAAACAGTATAAATTCCATATAATTCACCCACTGTCAGTTTATAATTCAGTGATTTTTTGGTAAGTTTTATAGAGTTATGCAACCATTACCACAATCCAGTTTTTCATTTTCATTGCCCCAGAAAGCTCCCTCATGCACATTTGCAGTCAGTCCCCAGTGCCTACCCAGTCCAAGGCAACTACTGCTCTGCTTTCTGTCTCTATAGAGTTGTTATTTCTAGACATTTCATATAAATGATATCATACAATATATAGTCTTTTGGATACTTTCACTTAGAGCAAGTGAAAATATTGAAAAATAGTTTTGTGAAATAGTCATGTAAAATAGTCTTTTAAATGACTATTTTTCGCTTAGAATA